ATCCTGCTCACAAGCTTGAGTTCCTCGCACTCAAGTGGGCAGTCACTGAGAAGTTGACTGACTATCTTTATGGTGTTCAATTCACTGTAGTCACAGACAGCAACCCGCTGACATACATCCTGACATCAGCTAAGCTTGACGCTACCAGTTACCGGTGGCTATCAGCCTTGTCGACGTTCAATTTCAAAATAGTCTACCGAGCGGGCGAGCAGAACGCCGATGCTGATGGGCTGTCACGTCGGCCACATGGGGAGCTGTCTGATGATTTGATGTCTCGCAAAGAGCGCGAGCGAGTGTTGAGATTTGCTCAGCACCATCTTGAAGATCCAGAGTATGCCTTCATTGACCAGCAGACAGTTAGAGCCATTTCTGACCGTCATGTTATGAACTGCCCTTACAATGATCCCATGCATGCCCTCATCTTGTCCCTGTCTATACACGCAGATAGTGTTCCTGACAGTTTCATGGATGACACACAGTTCACCTCACCCTTACTCCCTCGACTCTCAGCCGCTGACATCGCCACCAAGCAGCGAGATGACCCCACAATCCAGTATGTTATTGCACAGCTCAAGCGTGGAGAGTCGCCGCCACCAATGCTGAGAGAGCAACTGCCCGACCTGCCCTTACTTCTGAGAGAGACAAACAAGTTGGAGCTCCATAACAACCTTCTCCTCAGAAGAAGACAGGTCGGAGGTGAGCGGTGGTGTTGCCTGAGGAGTACCGAACTGATGTGTTGTTTCAACTCCATGACAAGATGGGCCATATGGGCATAGAAAGAACTTTGGATCTGGTCAGATCCCGTTTTTACTGGCCTAAAATGTCTGTAGATGTGGTCAACAAGATCAAGACCTGCGAGAGGTGCGTCAGGCGCAAGTCCCTCCCTGAACATGCAGCACCACTCGTCAACATCCAGACATCCCATCCCTTTGAGCTGGTCTGCATGGACTTCTTTTTTTTTTTTTTTTTTCCTTCTTTTTATTTACAAGATAAAATAACGAGACAAACTTCAAAACCCCCCACCCAAACCCAGCCACCCCCCTTGCATTCATACCACAATCACAACCACAAACATCCACACATTCTCAGTATTTTGAACACAGACTATAGACAAAAAAGAAGCACAAAGCAAAAGAAAATAATAACATAGAAAATGAGAAATAAAATAAAGTCACTAATACCAATCAAAATCCATAAACAAAATACAATATAATTAGCAAAACATTTACGACATAACAAATGGCATAGCAAGTACACCTAATATTTATATCTCTAACTCAGGTAAGCAGACATTCCATTTCTTTTCATGCTCAATTATTCTGTTGTTATTTGTTGCTATAATTGTTTCTAACATATACTGATGATAAACTCTATTCTTAAAATGTTTTATACATAAATTTGATACATTTTTAGCTTTAAAAATAAACATTTTACCCATCAGAATAATCATATTCAAAAGGTACAGTAGGTCCCATTTCGTTTTGTCGTCTTCACTCACGCTTTTCGGGAATCACGCAGCTGCGTGAAAAATATTACATCTTATCGCCACAAGGTGGCAGGTTAAGTCCGCTTTAGCTCTGCCAGCGACTTAGACGCTCAGGTATGATACTGCGTGCAAACCTGTCTGGCCAGAGATTCTATGTTGGCCGAATGGTTAGCATTGAAGACTTGGACCTGGAGAACCCAGGTTCGATTCTTGTCTGAGGCAATTTTGGTTGCACATCTTTTGGTTGCTTGTGTGCAATTACGTAACGTTATCAGATTGTTATCTTCTTTCCTTGTCAAAAGGAAATGTGTAAAATTGGCTGTGTGTTCAAGCCGTGCATGTGAATGTATATGTGTTGCTATTGAATGCTTTTTCAAAGTAAGAGCATAACAGACAACATATACATATTTTGTACTAATGTTAATCTTTATAATTAAATTGCATTAACGTATATATGTGATGCGATCTGGGAAAACCCGTCGGATGTCACGCTGGCACGTTCCGAGTAAACAGTAAAAATAGGTCGATTGTCATTTTTTTGGCAAAATTGTTTTTTCATTAAACAATTATTATATAACATCTTGTCTTTAATGTCTGAAAAAATCTAGGTGAAATCCACTAGTGTTATACGTTAAATATTGTGATATGTTTTGATAAACTGAACGTTACGTTACATCCTCCGCTCTGGCCCCGGGAGCAGCTGCTGTGACCCCCGCTCTGACAGCTCAGTGAGCGCTCCGAGCGCGGACCATAGACACGCGAACAGAACCACAGACAGGACCATAGACACCCGAACAGAACCACAGACAGACATTTACATTTACATATACGCAGACAGAACCCAGACAGGCGGAGACACGCGAGACACGCGGATCATAGACACTTGGACAGAACCAGAGACATACGAAGCATAGACACTCGAGTCGGACAGGTCCATTTGTTTTATTTGTGTTTAAAGTTACCTAAGTTTCTCCTTGCATTAAAAATGCTTGGTGGTTGTGGATATTTAGACTGCGTGATTTGATAGAATAATACTGGCAATGTCTAATACATATCTAATTTTCAGTAAATTATAAAAAGAAAGAAAAAGAAGAGGAGGTCAAAATTCAATCCATTGAATATTGAAAGAATCAATACATTCTTGATTTTCGACTAATTCATGAGTGTTGTGTGTTTAATTGGTGCCAAAGTAACATCTTTTTAATCTTCTACAACATAGTGACTAAAACAAGTGTGCCATAACAGAGTAATTCAAATTTTTGTTATATGTGACTGTGATGATTATGTTTAGAATGTCGATCTTTAAACCTGTTTTTCTCAGAATTCTGTTTCATAAAACCATCTAAATACGCTGACTTCAGATTATGAGAACTTTTGTTACAGACATGCTATGGAGAAAAGGAAAACAGATTTGAAAAGATATTGAAAGCAGCTTTAAGATGTGCGAGGCGAGCCTGGCCTGACTGCGCTCTCCTCCTCTGGGACCTACGGGCCACCTCAAGAAGTTCACGCTGAACTTTCTTAAAAATAAAATGAAAAAGGATACTCTGTTGTGAATGTTTTGAGAGCATTATCAGTCCTTAAGAGGAGGAATAGCTGTTGTTCTCGGGGAACGAGCTTCGCGCTGTGTGATATGATCATGCAGCTTATTGGACAAAATTGTTCAGCCAATAAACGGAACTATATTTGAAGCAACGTAGGAACGTGATGACGCTCAGGGGGTTATATTTTCTAAAAAAAGATTAGAACGCAACATTTAGTTAATAATGTGTGTATAAAAATAAAAATATTGAAATTATGACTTTAAACAAAAAAGTCTAATGACTTGAGAGGCGAAGAACAAAATTGGGAAGGCCAAGATAAAAACTGGTAGGCACCGGCCTACCCAGGCCTATCCCTGGCCGCGGCTGGGCCGTGCATGTGAATGTATTTTATGTTTAAATGTATGAATGAAACATACTGTTTTATAACATTATGTCAGGATTCAGCAGACAGATCACATAATCACATTGGTTAGGGTTAGGGTTAGTTTGTTAATTTGATCAATCAATAAAGTGAAAAAAAAAAAATAATTCTAAAAAAAAACTTTAAAAAATTATTAAAAAACAAAGAAAATTTATGCATTGAACTCATAATCATCAAATCAATATCAGTGGATTTTATCCTCTATCCTGGGAAAAAACAAACACAAATAAAGTAAATAAATAAACAAAAAACAACAAACAAAAATAAAAACAAACAAACACTATTGGACACACAAGAACTCAGCAGATTCAGTCAAAACACAGACAAAAACGAGCTGAGTCTCAAATTAGAAGCTAATTTAACTTTTCTTACTCTATACTTTTATTCTAATGCTATTTGTTTACACTTCACTTATTTCACTGTATTATTTTCACTATTTTAATCTATTCACAAATATGTTTGTATATTCTTATCGAGCCATATTCTTAAACATATATTTTAATCTAATAATTCTCTCTGCACTATGGTTTACTCTAGTGGCTTATTATTAGTGGGATTTTGCTCCATGTCTATTCTCATTCTCAGGAATAAAACTGTGAACACAGTAAGGCAAATGGTTAATATGAACATTATTATGGCGGTCAGTTTTCCAAATACATTTGTTAAACCAGGAAGTGCTGTCACTTCCTCCTCTCAGGCAGTTTGGGATGAATGTACATCTTTAATCAAATTAGTATTATCCTTACAAGAGCTAATCTATTTTAGCAGGTTTGGGGTTGGGGTCAGTTATTATTCTACAATGGTGTTTGTGCTGGAAACTTCTCAATATCTAAATATCTACTTTTTGTTTTTGTGCTATACACAAATACATCAAAATGCTTTTGAATCTCTGTTGGTTGTAATCTATCTCATTAATCTAAGCTACACTCATTAACTTTTTGCATTGTCAACATTCACTCATGTGTGAACACAAGTGAATTTGGAAGGTATCTAATAAAACTGTACATAAAACTGTAAGTAACTGTATCTACTTTTGAAGTAAATGCTTGTGAAATGGTCCCTTCACCATTCAAATATTAGCACTGGCTACAAATAATCTCTATTTTTGAAAGCATCTATGGTTGATGCATTTATCTAATTCTATTTCTACACTATTGTGGCTCCAAAGCTCGGTTGCAGCTTGAGCCAAGGCATATTTCTAATCTGTGACTTTTGTCACTTTTAATGGCTGTAACATTATTCTGATTCTAATATTTTAGCTGCTCTATCAGAAGGATAACATTGTATGGTACTATTTTAACTCTTATGTGGAAATGTGTTTATGAACAACAAAGGAAATCAAATTCTACTCTTTTACTACTATTTACCATCTACTAAAACTCTACAATACTCATACTTTATCATTTTCAAAGTTTTTGTCTGTCAGATGTCTGAATACTTAACATGTATATTGCATTTGTCACAGGTTCTGGTTGTAGCAAGAGCATCGGCAATAGACGTTTTTCATTGGCTGGTTCTTGTTCTGAAAATGGCTGTGTCCAATAGATCATCAGATGTCCAGAAGCTAGGGACAAACAAAAACAAAAGAAAGAATCATGAGTATCTCTCTCATTTAGCACTCATCAATGTATGATTTTAAAAATATAAACATCACTCCCCAGTTTTTATCTCTCAGATCCTCAGGTCCTCAGGGTCCCCTGAGGGTGAATCTCAGTCCTCATCAGGTCAGGTCATATTTCGAGAGATGTCATCTTGGACATCAGTAGGGTCCAAGCCATGGTTTTGGTCTCTCCAGATGCACATCAGATCTCCAGATACAGTCTTTTCACTTGAAGCACATCAGATCATTTGCGATGCACTTCTGGTCAATGGTGCAGTGTCACAGTTCCTGTACACAGCTTGTTATGCAGTTAGTCACTGTGTATGGTTAGTCACTTTGATTCTAATCCTAATCAATGTAATTACTTACTCACACAGTACAAAATCAACAAATCAAAAGTGTCAGGACAGATGTCAATTAACTCTTTCAGTGCCAGACATTTTCAGAACATCACTCCTCCAGTGCCAGCCGTTTTGCTGATTTTCACCGACTTTTAAAGACCCATAGAATATGTTCTGCTATGACTAGCCTAAATCTGAGACCATATTCTGAAAGATTGGACCCTCTAGTTTATTCAGAAAAAATAAGTGTGTTTCTATCGGCTTTAGTTCTTCTGTAATCACCATTGGAGTAAGGTAAACTTTTCACAGAAATCATCAGTTTCCGACATAAAGCTGAGAAAATGAGGTGTTTGTGAAAATAAGCAAACAATGCAGAAAAGTGACTTTGAAAAGTTTTTTTTTTACTTTAGTCATTTCTCACACAACAGAACATTCTTCCCATGTATAAAATAAGGGAAATGACTCAAAATAAAGTGCTTTTGATAGCAAAATAATACTCAGAACACAGAATAATACTCAGAACACAGAATAAGAAATGTACAAACATAAATTACAAACAAATAACTATATACATAAAGTGCTGATTGGCTGAGAGTGTGCGTGTGTGCGTGCGTGTGTGTGTGTGCATGTGTGCGTGCATGTGTCTCTGTCTATATAGTGTAATCTTGTTGTGTGTGATATTTTGTGAAGCACTCTCCTTTGTGTAAGGGGACACCACATGCCTTGCACCACATCCTGGTCTCACTGCGCAGGCCTTTGCGCATGCAGACCCTGCATCTCCTCGAGGGTCTGGTCTTCGAGCCGGAGGACAGCAGGTACTCCACTTTGTGCCTGGCACCCTCATCGAGCCTGCTCTCTGGATCCGTGTTATATGGAGCCCTGGGGTTTCGTGGTGCTCCTTCCTCCACACATGCAACGATCACCTCGTTCTCCTCGTTGTGGTCCTCCTCGTCCTCCTTGTCCTCAATGTCCTCGATGTCCTCGATGTCCTCCTCGTCCTCCTCGTCCTCCTCGTCCTCCTCGTCCTCGATGTCCTCGATGTCCTCCTCGTCCTCATCCTGGACCTTCAATGTCCAGGACCTCATGACCCCCTGCATGAATTCACATTTCTGGTCTCAAAAAATACAGATTCAAGTGATAGACAATTAAAAATATGTGTTTACATTGGAGTAAACTTTTAAAATGCTTTTTCTCATGTTCTGCTTTTTCATGTATCTATATGTAAATGTGAATGTGTGAGTGTATGAATGTATGTGTGTGTGTGTGTGTAGGGTGTGAATTTTTGGGGTTGTGTCTCCAGACTCCTCGAACCACCTGTAGGTCTCAAAGGTCACACTGTGGTGATGTAACCACGTGGACACACTTTCAACTGCCTCTAGGTCTCTACCTGAGGCCTCCACCCATCACGTCTCCAGAAACCTCCACTTTCATGGCCCCGGTCTCTCTCACACCCACTCAGCTCTGGAGTGGCGTGGGGAGGGGCAAGGAGGTGGCATTTCCCTTTGCTCTTTGATCTGTGACCTGTGGCTGGGTGGGCTTTGCTGTCCAGTGTCCACTCCAGCAGTCCAGTGACCCTGTACAGTGTGTGCCCTTGGTCCTGGAACACAACCTTATAGTAAAAATCAAAACAGCAGATATCAGTTTGTGAATGAGATTGTTTTTCTCTCTAAAGTCTAAACAATTTTGGAGCGCTCTTGGCTTTTCAACATGCGCTATGTAAATAAAGATTACTTATTATCTTACTAATGATGACATTTTTAGGACCAGAAACTAAAGAAGTTATGAAAACAACAATTATACTCAAAACAAACAACCTTTTAAACTTTAAAAAATGTGTACTTTTGTACTGTGTGTTTAATTATCTTGAACATTTATCTCAGCATATATTCTACTAATTTAAAATAATTGCAGCATTTTCAAATTAAGTCAATATGAATTGGAGCACATTTCAGAGCCAGTCTCCTCTGCTGTGTGCATCAGCAGGAGCAACAAGGTCAGGCGTGTAGTCAAAACAAAAAAGTCAGCGCTTGAATGTGAATTGGGTAGAACTGAATTCAATTTGGAGAGACGAGAGAACAAGAAGCTTTTGAGTATTTTATTGAGAGGAGGTTTGGCGCCCTAGGCCCCGGTGCGGCCTTCAGATCGGAGAGGCTCCTGCGATGGAGCGCGCCAATCCCCCGGGACCTAGGCACTGGTGGCGGCATTTGGCAGCGGGAAGCAGATTGAAGGCAGATTGGAGGCAGGGTGAAGAGGAGGAGGAGGGGAGGCAGTGGTTGCAAGGCTTCGAGAGGCCGTGAAGTGGGAGTTTCTCCGCTTTTAAGCGGCTGGCCTGGCCGGTACGGGTGATTGGAAGGGGGCGTTTGCTGTGCGATAGGCTGGGGATGCGAACCGGCCTGGAGGGGGTAACTTTGGCTGACGTCTACCAAATTGAATTTCCGCGGGCTGCATTTCAATTTGGAGAGACGAGAGAACAAGAAGCTTTTGAGTATTTTATTGAGAGGAGGTTTGGCGCCCTAGGCCCCGGTGCGGCCTTCAGATCGGAGAGGCTCCTGCGATGGAGCGCGCCAATCCCCAAAAAGGCTGAGTGTTGAGGGAGTTTTGCAGGGGCCAGACGTTGTGACTGCTCTATGCTGTGACCGCTATCGCTATGCTGTGACCGCTATCGCTATATGCTGTGACCGCTATGGCTATATGCTGTGACCGCTATCGCTATATGCTGTGACCGCTATCGCTATATGCTGACGACCGTTATGCGCTAACCATTTTTTGCTATATGCTGTGACCGCTAACCATTTTTTGCTATATGCTGTGACCGCTATCGCTATATGCTGTGACCGCTATCGCTATATGCTGTGACCGCTATCGCTATATACTGTGACCGCTATATACTGTGACCGCTATATACTGTGACCATTACTTGCGGATACTCAGCTGCTGCCGCCACCAGGAAGTTTTGCGAGTGTTTTATGGAGATGCCAAGAGGCGCTGGGCTGCCAGAATAGTCGAAGTGTCCGGCCTGATGTATGATGAGAGGGCCGAAGATGACCAGCGCCCCAGCTGCTGAGGCAGAATGGGGAGACCCAGGGAAGCGGCGCGCGTGGCAGCGCCTATCCGAACGAGTGAGCTGTGTAGAGATGAGGGGACAAGTTACAAGCAGCAGAACGCACTTGAGTTGGGCTCTGAACCAGTTGATGTCATGGGGAGGTTATCGGGAGTGAGGAAGCGGTCCGTTGAGATCTCCTTTCCGAGAGCGGAGGCGAGTGTAATGCATCATGGATCTGTAGGGACAGGGAGAAGTGTCAGAATGAGCTATGACTATGTTGCAAGCGCCTTTGCGTTTGGAATGCTTGAGGTGGAGGTTTAAGTAGTCGGGATAATATGACAGGTCAGAGAAGGCAATGTCTCGGGATGCATTAAAGGTGGCGTGAGAGTTTGTGAATTCGCTTATGCGTAAGAAGCCCATTTTCATGTAGGATGCAGCGGAGGAGAGAAGGTGAAGAGACGGAGGGACTAGACCAGGGCGAGGGATTCCGTGCAGGGGATCTGGCATGGCGATGGATTGGCAGAAGGGCAAAGGCGTCAGAACTCCTGGAATTTAAAGCGAGAGAGAGAGTCAGCAAGACAGTTAGGTGACGAGGGACGTGACGAGCAGTGATGATAAATTGTTCAGGACTGAGAGCCATGTGATGCGTCTAAGGAGGATGTGATTTGGGGAGAGGATGAACGACCTCTGTTAATTATTTCAATGACGTCGAGGTTGTCGCATGTCACGGAAATCCTTTTCCTATGCCACGTATGGTTCCGCAGCACGCAGGCTACGGTCACGGGATATATCTCGTGGAGCGCGGAGGAGATGCTTCGAGGGAAAGCGTCGGGCCGGGGCCCGGCGAACCACTGGTCCTGGAAAAAAAAAAAAAAACCCACGGACGGGGCTGCGTCCGTGAAGAACCGCGGGGCATCTGAGACAGGATGACGTCACTGTAAAAAAAAGAGATACACCATCCCAGCGGCTCTGCAGACGGGACTGGAACGCCAGTCGGAGCGGCGCCCCGCGTCCGGGCAGACAGCGTCATTGAGGGAGGAGACGGAGCCGGCGAGGGAGAGGAGTCTGGAATTAAAAGAACAACCTTGGGGAATGATACGGATGGCGTAAGATGCCCGAGGAGGGAGAGCAAGGACGCCTTGAAGTGACGGGAAGGCCAAGGCAGACCGGGAGAAAGCGCGGATGCGTTCGAGCTTGTCCAGCGGGAGGGAGGCCTCCATGAGAGGGAGACGCCGAGGGACCTAAACAGAGCTTGCAGTCGAATGTGAGGGATTTAAATAGAGCTTGTAGTCCAAAGTGAGGTCTTAAAACTGAGCCCGCAGTCCAAGTGAGGCGTTTAACTGAGAGCCTGCAGTCCGGTGTGAGGGAGTTAAACGACCTGTAGTCCAAGGTGAGGGATTAAACTGAGAGCTTGTAGTCCAGGGTTAGGGATTCAACATTGCCCGCAGTCCTAAAAGAGGGATTCATAACTGAGAGCTTGTAGTCCAAGTGAGGGATTAAACCGAGAGCTGCAATCCAGTGTGAGAGATTTAAACAGGTTTTACGGTCCAAGTGAGGGATTAACTGAGCCCGCAGTCCAAGTGAGGAGTACAGTCCAGTGTGAGGGATCCAACAGCCTGCAGTTTTTTATTTTTATTTATTTATATTTATTTATATTTATTTATATTTACATTTATTTATATTTATTTATATTTATATTTATTTATATTTATATTTATATTTAGTTATATTTATTTATTTTTATATATAAGCGTTCCGGATATAAGCAGTACCATATATGCAGTTCCATATATGCAGTTCCGTATATAAGCAGTTCCATATATAAGCAGTTCCATATATAAGCAGTTCCATGTATAAGCAGTTCCATATATAACAGTTCCATATATAAGCAGTTCCATATATAGCAGTTCCATATATAGCAGTTCCATATAGAAGCAGTTCCATATGAAGCAGTTCCAGATACGGTATAACAGTTCCAGATATAAGCAGTTCCAGATATAAGCAGTTCCGTGAGGGATTAACCTGAGAGCTCGCAGTCCAATGTGAGGGATTCAATTTGGGAGCCGCAGCCCAAGAGGGATTTAAACGGGGCTCGCAGTCCAAAGAGAGGGATTTAAACAGAGCTCGTAGTCCAGAGAGGGATTTAAAGAGAGCCTGCAGGCCAAAGTGAGGGATTAAAACTGAGAGCACGCAGTCCAATGGGAGGGATTAAACTGAGATCTTGCAGTCCAATGTGAAGGATTAAACGGAGCTTGCAGTCAGAGTGAAGGATTTAAACGGAGCTTGGTTAAAGAGAGCCTGCAGACCAATGCGAGGGCTTTAAACTGAAGCTTGCCCACCAATGCACGGGGCCAACTGAGCCTGCAGTACAAAGCGCAGGGCCAACTGAGCCTGCCGTACAATGCGAGGGGAATAAACCGTCCGCAGATCTCATACTTACCCACAACGCCAGAAGACAAGGGACAACACAACGGGACCACGCCGTACCGGCACGAGGAGGCAGGGATGCGCACGGCTCCCACCGCACCGGGCCAGACCGGCCGTATGCAGTAGCAGGCCGCGACGAGACGAGCAGCGGCGAGCCCGCAGAAAGAGCCCGCAAAAGAGGAGAGCGGCAAAGACCCACGGACCACAGCACGAGACCCGCAGCAGGTGCAGCGACGCGGAGGAGGAGCAGACCACACGCAGCAAGACAGAGGACAGCAGGGACACGCACGAGTAAGCGTGAGTAGACACAAGCGATTCCTCCGGAACGATTCTTTGCAAGGCTTCGAGAGGCCGTGAAGTGGGAGTTTCTCCGCTTTTAAGCGGCTGGCCTGGCCGGTACGGGTGATTGGAAGGGGGCGTTTGCTGTGCGATAGGCTGGGGATGCGAACCGGCCTGGAGGGGGTAACTTTGGCTGACGTCTACCAAATTGAATTTCCCCGGGCTGCATTATAATACTTTTACAGCTAATCCTAATTCCCTCTTTCTTTTTTAGACGAAGTCTATAATCAATAATCACTTTTAACACAGATTCTAATTTAAATGTTTGAAAAACGGCTTTTG